CTCTCTCTCTCTCTCTCTCTCTCTCTCTCTCTCTCTCTCTGGCTTTCTCTCTTTCTCTCTTTCACGAAATAAAGATCGCGCAATGCGCGTAATTGAATTCTTGCCGTCACTACCGCGGTAAAGCAGGTTTAACTGGCTGTGCATTAATAACGGGCCGCGCGCTAAACACCATCGTCGAACTCGCGCCAGCTGATTGCTCCGAAACATCGCGCCGTAAGCGCGAGACTTCATTCCGGGTGCTTTGCACAGACATATAAGTCCGACTTTGCGTATAATTGCACGGTTATGTGCTTATGTGTTTACGCTGGTAAATCCTTCGAAATGCGTACGATGGAAAGCGGCGGAGGGGAAACGCTGAGGTCAAGGAGCTTGATCGATTACTTTCGTGTCCCTCTGCAAGTAACAGCTACACGTTCTCTTCCTCACGTCATCCGCGATCGTTCGTGACTTATTTCCACGTACATCCATGTACTGCTCCTGAATTTACAACAGCCGACAGAAGCGGCCATATATGCATATGGTGATGTAACATTTTCCAACGCCGCGCCGCTCCCAACAATCAAATCGCCAAGCTACCGCCAAGCGCGAAGAGTCGGTCAAATTATATTACTCGATTTCGCAACTTTTAAACGTGATTTAAGCGGACACGAATTATCCTCTTACGCCTAATTAGAGGGCAATTCGATTAACCGCATCGGTTTCAGCAGGGATTATGGGTCCGTATGCACACTCCATCCCCTGTCCCTCCTCCCGTCTTCCATGAAGGAAAAGCGGAATTAATTAATAGCGATGTATATCACGATGAGATCACCGAGACGAGACGGTGAAAATTACATGGAAAATTCGGCCACGCGGCCAGCGACGAGAGCGCGACAGCGGATCAAAAAATCAAATCTCCTCGCTGGCATAGAGGAGCCGCGGGCATATTGATTTTTCTACTCCGGTGCAGCCAATGACCTAACGTTACCTCGCCTGCCTGAGCGCGAGCCTAACGAAGTTATCCGAAGAATGACGTGCCGTACACGGCGCAGCACGGTGGAAATCGACACCCCCATTTAGCACTTCGTATTCTCGATATCCCGCCCTCACACGTGACACACTCCGCGCGCATCACATCTTAAGACACCATCTGGCGGCCACCCATCGGACGACCACCCAATCCGCTCATATTTTTCCGATCGCAAGGGTCCGCGCGGCTCTGTCACGGCGGATCCCCGAGGCCGCGGAGATTTACCGCAGGCATTAAATTACGGCCGTCGCGACTGATCTTCGAGATCAGTGTGCTTTGAACGGCACGTCGAGAACGAGTCCGTTGATCAAACGACGCTGTTGGACTTTTGTTTCTTCTTTCCTCTATTTTGTCCTTCTTTTTAATCTTCCCTTCTCTCTTAAGAACGTTGCGTCCGATGGGCTTTTCGGTCCCGTAGGACTGAACCCTCTTTTGTTGAAAATCGAGGTTTGTCAGAAGCAGGAAGTATATATATACATATACTTCATCGTCCGACGGAAACGGGATGATCATATTTCTTCGTAGGTAACCAGGGCTCGAGTGAAATAAGTCGCCGCATTTGCGATACTCAAGAAGAAGACGAAAATAGTCTTTATTACGCTTTATTGTTATAATGAGCAAAAGGAAGAAAGGAGATTTGTAAACAAAAATTTATATTTTTTTCCAATTAATACCTTCGTAGTTAAGTTGTATTATTCTTGGAGGAAAGTATACTAATTTAAAGAAAATTTGTCCTGATTTATCGCTGACTTGTACTACTTACTCGAGGAACATTTTCAGTCGTCCCACTTTTTACTAACTCGCACTGCTTAAACGAAAAGTTTTCATTGTTTATAAAGCCAAAGATGAAAGTATAGTATCTTATATAATTCATTCTTACATTTAAAAATGTCTTAAATTTGTTTTAAGATTCTGTAAAGGCTGTTTCGTTGGTTATATAGCATTCATCTTGAGAAAAATTTAAAACGATCTACAAATACCGACGACGAATAATAAATGATTTCGAAAATGTTTCGCCAAATTTAACCATACATAATAAAATTATTTTCTAAAATTATTTTTTAGAATTTTAATAGAATCACCTCTTTTTATAGACGTATTCTCAGCTACTTATAATGCAGCGACTTTAATGTCGAAAACGCAATTTTAAAGAATGATTTCATTTTATTTCATCTCATTTCACATGGATGAATGTAACATAAAATTCATTTTAACTTTTATCTTTACAAACATTCTAAAATTTTAGTAAAAATAACAAAGTATATATAGAGATATTTCTAAAAATAACAAAGGGTATGTTGAGAAATATTTCTAAAAATAAATATAATATTATAAAGTATATTATAAATATGCAACCTTTGTGTAAAATACTTTATCATATAGGGGAAGGTCGGATAGTAGCGGACAGCGGTTAGTATCGGACAAAAGTTGTTTTAAGCATTTGCCGCTGAAGGCAGCACCTGCAGAAACGATCGGCGTGTTGACTGAAGGAGGGGGGTAGTCAACTCCTTCAGTCAACACGTCAATTGTTTCATAGGTGCTGCCTTCAGCGACAAATGCTTAAAACAACTTTTGTCCGATACTAACCGCTGTCCGCTACTACCCGACCTTCCTCTATAGCTTTCACAATTTGACATATCTTGCAACGTGCAGAAATACTCGCGCATAATCAATTATTAAAAATTACCTTCAGTTTGCTTCAACCCTTAGATATGTCTGAAAGCACCTATAAAAAAAAAGACGTGCCTTTTATTTTTAATTCCGTTGCCATTACAACACACGGATTAAAACCCGTTAAAAAAAGGTACACTTTTCAGTGTTTCAATACTAGTCGCGTCGCGCGCCCAAAGTCGCCCAATTAATAATTTCAGCCTCGCTCTGTTGTATTCTTCGCAGAAGCCGCGGCGGTGAAATCCGGGTGTCGGCGCGAGAAACGATGAACGAATCGAGACGAGCCGGGAACGTAGCGGCGCGATAATAATAATATGTGGACGACGCGGCCACGGACCAGGCGAAAGTCGCGACAACCGTCGACCCCGTCGTGCAAGGGACGCGATAATCGGACGTGGAATCGCCGTCGGGGCGGCTTTCGCATCATCTACTCGGTGATATTGGCGGCCTGCATGGCGGCGCAAGAAGCGAGGTGCACCAAGTGCCCGCCACCAGACACGATACCCGGCTGCCCATGTTACAACTTCGAGAACGGCGGCCTGTTCCTGGAGTGCGCAGGTGCCACCGAGGAGTCCCTCAGGAACGCTTTGTCCGGCGTGATACATGCCGCCGGCGGTGAAGGTAACCGTCCATGATGCGACACGCAAAAAGCAGGCAACACCGCGGAGAACACGTATTCCCTTCGCATACATAAGTAGAAACATCCGCGAGCATACATCCGTAGAACAAGCTAATATTGCACCGGCAGGACCGGCAGCCGTGTGATTTGAGATAAAAAAGAAAACAGAAGCCCTTGAGGGAGAGACTACTCGGTACCCGTGTCAATATAGTCAATGTGTGTGAGCTGCGATATTCTGTCATAACTCTTTTGTATAAGCATATCGCTGAAACGTTTATATGGAATTATATCTCGACAAATGTATTAAAAGCACGTGTAAAAACGCGTGTGTGTATATATATATATATATATATATATATATATATATATATATATATATATATATATATATTCTCGAGGAGATATTTAAATATAATTTATATATACACGAGGATATTTAAATATAATTTATATATACACGAGGATATTTAAATATAATTTATATGTATTAAATATATGTATTTATATATTTTTCTGAAAGAACTAATATAACTCGGGCGTGTATTTCTTAGAGTTACAGTGAAAGATATATAAGATATATAAGATATATAAAATCTGAGATTGATTAATGAATGAATTAATTAATCCCGTTGCATGCAAGAATATAACATTTGATATTCGTCTCTTTTTATATCGTTTTATACATCTTTTATCAATGAGACATTGAGACTCGCGTGTCAAATCTGAAATATTAAATTATACACAGTTGCGACATATGAATTCGATCCTGTTGAATCTTATATCTTACGGCTTGTAAATTTTTTCGTGGCGAGAATCCTCACTGCGACCTCTCTGATTTTTCATCATTGATTATCGACATTTTTAATAAAGCGCGATAGCTCGTGCATGAAAGAGAGAAAAAATATGATATAAATCGAAGGGCGAATATCGCTTGTAACCCGTATCAAGGGATTAAAACTCACAAAGCGAACGTGAACGGTTCGGTTTTAAACGAAATATCCGGCAATTGTTTCAGGCGCGCTCGTGCAATCGTTGAGCGTGTACGAATTAGATCGAAAAGTAGAGGAACTTCGGTCCGCCGCTTTCCCGACAGGCTCGCAAATTAGGCATCTGCAAATATCGCATTCCGCGATTCGCGAGATAAGCGAGAATGCTTTTGAGCGACTAAGCAAAAGCCTGGAATCCTTGGCACTCGTATCCGGCCGACTACCTCACGTACCTCAAAAGGCAATGGCCACGCTGAGCCTACTCAAAGCGCTGGACCTGGAGGCCAACCTCGTTCAAGAGCTGCCCAGCTTCAGTTTCTACGGGCTCTCCTTAATTAAACTGAACCTTAAGGGCAATCAAATCGTGAAAATCTCCGAGTATGCTTTCGCCGGACTCGAGGGCACACTGAAGGACCTGGATCTGGCGGAGAACAAGATCCGTGTGTTCCCTATGACTTCCCTAAGACGATTAGAACACCTCACGTCGTTGAGGCTCGCGTGGAACGAGGTGTCCCAACTGCCGGAAGACGGCTATTCCAGGCTGGACGCCTTGAACTTCCTCGATCTCAGTAGCAACAATTTCAAGGACATACCGCTCAATTGCTTTCGCTGCTGTCCGTCCCTGAAGACCCTCTCCCTTTATTACAACGCGGTCGAGTCGGTGGACAAGGATGCCTTCATATCGCTGATCGATCTCGAATCGATCGATCTCAGCCACAACAAGATCGTGTTCCTCGACGTGGCTACCTTCCGTGCCAATCAAAAACTCAGGTCGATCGATCTCAGCCACAATCACATACACTACATCCGCGGCGTGTTTTCGCGGCTGCCCGAGCTGAAGGAGCTCTTCCTCGCGGAGAACAACATCCTGGAGATACCTGCGGAGACGTTCACCGGCAGCACTAGCTTGTCAGTCGTGTACCTGCAGCAGAACGCCATCAGGCGGATCGACGCGCGCGGCTTGGCGACGCTGAACCAACTGGCGCAGCTGCATCTCAGCGGCAACTACATCGAGAAGGTGCCGCGCGACTTCTTCGAGCACTGCGACAACCTGTCGACGCTCTCGCTAGACGGCAACAGCATTCGCGAGCTCGAGGTCGGCACATTTGCCAAGACGAAGCAGCTGCGCGAGCTGCGGCTGCAGGACAATCAAATCACCGAGGTGAAGCGCGGCGTGTTCGCGCCGTTGCCGTCGTTGTTGGAGTTGCACCTGCAGAACAACGCCATCACGGACATGGAGACGGGCGCGCTGAGGTCCCTGCACAGTCTGCAACACGTGAATCTGCAGGGCAATCTCTTGGCGGTGCTCGGCGACGTGTTCCAGGTCTCCAACGACGTCGGCCAGAGTGAAAGCAGCGGTAGCTCCTTGGTATCCATTCAGTTGGACAATAATGGCCTCGGTGTCTTACACAATGACTCGTTAAGAGGTCAAGCCTCGGTTAGGATCATGTGGCTCGGCCATAATAGGCTGACTCGTTTGCAGGCGCCATTGTTCCGAGACCTGTTGCTGGTCGAGCGTCTGTATCTCACTAACAATTCCATCTCGCGGATAGAAGACACCGCGTTCAAGCCAATGCAGGCGCTCAAGTTCCTCGAGCTCAGCATGAATCGGCTGAGCCACGTGACCGTCAGAACCTTCTCGGAGCTGCACGAGCTCGAGGAGCTTTACCTGCAAGACAACGGTCTACGGCGTCTGGACCCTTACGCTCTGACCGCCCTCAAGCGACTGCGCGTGCTCGATCTGGCGAACAATCACCTGAACGTGCTGCACGACAAGATCTTCCAGGAGGGTCTACCGATCAGAACACTCAACCTGAGGAATTGCACTGTCACCGTCATCGAAAACGGCGCGTTTCGCGGACTGAACAATCTCTACGAGCTGAATCTCGAGCACAATCATTTCACTGCCACTGCTCTAGACCGTCTCGACATACCGGGACTGAGGATTCTGAGAATATCGTACAACAACTTCAGCCAGATCAGCGGCAACTCTCTGGACGGCCTGCCATCCTTGCAACATCTCGCGATGGACTCGTCGCAGGTCTATAGAATGCCGGCCGAGATCTTCTCGAAGAACAAGAACCTAGGGAAACTGTTGCTCAGCAACAATCTGCTCAGGGTGCTACCGGCGACGTTGTTTCTAGGTCTGGAGGCGCTCAAGGAGGTCAAGCTCGACGGCAACATGTTCCAAGAGGTACCGTACGATGTGTTCGCGAACGCCACCACGGTAGAGTTTCTCTCGCTGGCCAGCAACGTGCTCCTGCAAGTGGACATGTCGCGGCTGAGCGGACTCATCAGTCTGCGAGAGCTCGACCTACGCGGCAACTACATTATGTCCCTCACCGGCTTCGCTGCTGTCAATTTCTCCCGCCTGATATCCGTGGACCTGAGCCACAATCATTTAACGGCTCTGCCGGCCAACTTTTTCGCGCGCTCAAACATGCTACGGAAGATCGAACTGGCGGCCAATAAATTCCGGCAGATACCCGCGGTGGCGCTCACCGCGCAAAATATTCCCGGTCTAGCCTGGCTGAACGTCACCGCCAATCCGCTCGTGAGAATACACGAGATCAGCTCGGAGGCCAAGTACCCGGCCTTGCAGGAGATCCACATCTCCGGCACGAATCTGACGATCGTCACCAGCCAAGACTTCGAGGCGTTTCCCGCGCTGATGCATCTCTTCATGGACAACAACATGATATCGCGGGTGTCGCCCAGCGCTTTTCGAAGTCTTCCTAATTTACTGACGCTGGACCTCAGCGTCAACGAGCTGGAGTTGCTGCCGCAAGAGAGACTGAAAGGATTGGAGCACCTGCGGTTACTGAATCTCACGCACAATCGTTTGAAAGAGCTCGAGGACTTTCCACCCGACCTCAAGGCTTTGCAAGTGCTCGATCTCTCGTACAATCAGATAAGCGGAGTGGGAAAGAGCACGTTTCAGCATCTGGAGAATCTGGCCGAGCTGCATCTCTACGGCAACTGGATATCGTCGATCTCGCCGGACGCGTTCAAGCCCTTGAAGAAACTCAGGATTTTAGATCTAAGTAGGAACTACTTGGCAAACTTACCGCTGAATGCCTTTCGACCACTCGAGACACAAATACGGAGTTTACGGGCCGAGGGTAAGTACGACTCGTTCGCATTATTTAGTCCCTTCTATTTCCGCCGCGTCACGCTCGCGTGACACTCGCGCGCGGACGTGCATCTCACTCGTTAGATCGCGCGAAATTACTGTGGATTGATGATACGTATCATTCGATCAATTTTGACCGTTTGTAATTATCTTTCACATTTTTTAATATTTTCTCAAATGCAGGTTAGATTCCAATCAAAATGCCCAACTTTGTTCCAAACAGACTATCCCACTACGATACCAATCGGAAATCCTATTCTTGTCCCAAATACAAGTTTTTTAAGTATTTTCATCAGTTTCATTAATGCAATAAAGATAATACAAATGTTTTCTCTTATTTGCATTGTTTCATATTAGAACGTAAAATAATACATTTTCGTTTTATATAGAATACATTTATTCATCTAAGAATAATTTGACGATTTCATACATTTGTATAAGTCGGAAAAATTTGTCAGATATTTATATATATATTTTTTTTACTTTCTTAACTTGAACATCTTTTATTCCAATTTTTTCATAATGATTTTTTTTCGCAAATACTTTGAGTATTTACTCTTTACAAGTATATATGTGTGTATATATACTTGTGACCAGTAAATGTTCAAAGTATTTCATTTATTTTGTTCAATTTTAATTGAACATAGAAACCAGAAAAGACCTTTAGGAAAACATTGGGGACCTAAATAAAGACTAAATGGGATCTGTCTGAGTGTTTTCCACTTAGATTCGCATGTTTAAAACATTACGCTTCTAACCAGAATTTGCATAAATTTCCCATCTAAAAGCTATGATTATTGTGGGAAATCGAGCCGAATCCCAATCAGATCCTAAAGTATTTTCTATGCGAACCGTAAGAGAACCGCGCGACGATGCGGTCTGCCCTGGCCTCGCTCTACTGTACCCGGGAGAACCGCTCCAGAGAGTTATCGTTCGCCGCGCAAATAATCCGTGTATCTCGGGGTTGTTATCGCGGATCGACACCGGCATCGAAACTTTTTCCTTACGATACAATACGATACGATATTGCTCGCGCACATGTGCCGCCATTCACACGGATCATGTTGCAGCACGCTCGACAATAGCAATCTCGGCCGACGATTGGTCGCATGCAAAACTCACCGTCGACGACGAGTCTTCGCATGCGAGTGAATTCGACCCGGTCGAAAATAGCCCCGCGGGTAGTTACACTCGGAGCTCCTCGACATCGAGTGAACGATATAAATACAGAGGGTCGCCACACAATCGCAGCGAGAGCCAGCGTTACACGAAACATCACGAGTCTATTCAGCACGAAAACTGCGCGCGCGCGCGCGCGTGTACTATATATATATATACATACAATATACGGCGCGGTATAATTCAGACTGCAATAAACGTCGCACGGCGCGTTCACTTGCGAATCCAATACGCGACTCTTTCGTCGATTCTCGCGACATTCGCGACGATTGTGTGGTGCGGGCCGCGGAACGTGGTAAAAACTTTCGCGACAGCCTCTGCCTCCCGGAAAACGTCGGTGGAAATATCGAGAGAAAGAGGGAGAGAAAGAAAGAGCAGGAAGAGAGGGAGTTGCGACGACTCCCCCGAGATAATCGCGAGTATTAAATGCGCACAGAAAATCCACTGCACTGCGACTGCGAGTCCCAGGAGCTGTGGGAATGGTTGCGTGATCATCAGAAGCTGGTCGGCGGCGGGATGAGCCGAAGTCGCGGCGGTGGACTGAGGATGAACGATGTGGACGGCGGTCTGTTGCGGTGCGAGCAGCCGCCGGAGCTACGCGGCCTGGTGTTCCTCGACCTGGACCCGCACGCCTTCTGCTCCGCGCCGTTGGTCCTGAAACTGGCGATCCAGGACATCCAGCCATTCTCCGTCCTGGTGTCGTGGCAGAGTAGGAATCACTCCGGCCTGCGGGGCTATCAGGTGGCTTATCACGCGTTGGACAATATCGACGAGGTACTAAAAAGCAGACGCTTGCGAGCTTATTGTGCGTCGCGCACCGACAATGGCTGGATGCGAGAGCGTGGCTACACGCTCTCGGGGTATAAATCGACGAACGAGAGTCAAGGGAGAGCGCGCGCATGCGAGAGAGAGAGAGAGAGAGAGAAAGAAAGAGAAAGCGGGCTGGACGGTGTAAAGTGCGCGTGTAAAGTGTAAACGGCGCTTGATTCAATCGATAGTAAAAGCCGAAAGGTGTCTAAAGGGGGATGGGTAGGTGGGTGAGTGGAGGACGCTCTCTCTCGCCGACGAGACTCTAATTCATCCTTTACAAAAACGTGTCATCACATCCGCCAACGACGACGTTCACGCGCGCGCCGGCGATCGATCGCGAGAGCGCGGACGCGTGAAAAAATCGCGGTTCAACGTATCGATCGGATTAATCGCTTTCATCGTCCAGCAAGAAATCGAATCTGTTTTCTGTAATTTCTGAAATTGTCAAATAATGACGATACAGTGTGCGGCATATATATCTCGCGCAATCGCCAACACTCGTCACAGAATCTCGCGTAATAATTTTGCGATATAAATTTTTCGCGAAGCGAAAAGCATTAACGTCAAATAGAAATCTGAAACTAAAGGATTCGATACACGTTCGTTACAGATATTTTTTCATACGTTTATTTTGTGTATATGTATATATATATTGTGTATATATATATATATATATATATATATATATATATATATATATATATAATTTGTAATATATATATGTATATAATTTGTTATATATATATATATATAATTATATTGTGTATATATATATATATATATATATATATATATATATATATATATATATAATTTGTAATATATATATGTATATAATTTGTTATATATATATATATATAATTATATTGTGTATATATATATATATATATATATATATATATATATATATATATATATAATTTGTAATATATATATGTATATAATTTGTTATATATATATATATATAATTATATTGTGTATATATATATATATATATATATATATATATATATATATATATATATAATTTGTAATATATATATGTATATAATTTGTTATATATATATATATATAATTATATTGTGTATATATATATATATATATATATATATATATATATATATATATATATAATTTGTAATATATATATGTATATAATTTGTTATATATATATATATATAATTATATTGTGTATATATATATATATATATATATATATATATATATAATTATATTGTGTATATATATATATATATATATATATATATATATATATATATAATTTACATCATATATATCTAACTCTGGACATTTTTATTATTTATCTTTAAATAAAAATTTCAAACTTTTAAAATATAAAAAAAAAATATATATATATACATATATTAAATATATGCCTATATTCTTCGTTAAAAGTTAAAATATTCGTATTTAAAAACCAAAACAATAAGAATGTTCAAAGTTAGGCACGTTATTCGTGTTCAAGCATTGATACTTTAATATGTATGTTTTGCATTTCTTAGTCAGCACTTGTCGATCTTTACACGAAAATACGTAAATGTCGCGCTCTCGCCTCCTCCTCGATTTCAATCGAAGTTCACGGGGACGCGATCGCTTTCACCCTTGCTCCCTTCGAATTTCAGATACGTGCCAAAATACTCGAGCCCAGCGCGCGCTCGGTGAAACTGTCGAAGCTGTCGTCAAACACCCGCTACCTGATCTGCGTGTTCGGCCTCGGTAACTGGATGACGCCGCGCGTCGAGGATAATCCAGGTGCAGAGCAGCTGAATTTCTCCGAGATCGAGATCCTGGCGTCCACGCCGAGCTCGCAGATGACCGACTCGTCCACCAGTCGCTGCACTGAGGTGAAAACGTTGGACGCGCCGGACGCGATAATCAGCAGCGACGGATCGGCCATGGGCGACGTCGGCAGCGTCAGCAGTTTCCTGACACGGCGGCTCGGCCTGATAGTCGGCTGCTGCATGGGCTTCGTCGTCTTCCTGCTGCTGGTGTCCGTGCTCGGCTATCTCAAGGTCAAGAAACAAAGGGAGGCGGTGAAGCGAGAGCAGCAGCCGATACCGCCCGAGTATATATCCTATCGGCACTTCAGCATACAAAGCGGCGAGGCCGGTCACACCGCCGCCAGACAGACCAGCATTCAAGACGGCCAACATCCGAGTTTCATCGGCAGCATGGGCAATACCACGCTGAACGTATGAGAAAAGTCGCGGAACTCCCGACTCGTGGAGGTCTCGAACGTGTGAGCAGGCCCGAATCACTCGTCACTCGTCGATTCGTGCGTGTTTACCGAATCGGAGGACTCCCGCGACTCGCGGAAGTTTCGAATCTATGCGCCAAAGGAACAAGAGAGAATCTCGACAACAGACTGCTATATTCGAATTCTCGTGGCATGACGCCGCCGAGGTCTCGCGAAATCGAGATTCGGACTGTCGCGATCGGCGGCGCGCGAGATGTCACACACACACACACACACACACGCACTCAAAGTGCTATACAAAACAAACAAACACACACGAACACACACGCACGCATTAAGAACATTTTTCCACTGTTATTCCCGGAGACGATGACGCGTCATCGCCTTACCGGCGTCTGGCCAAGCCGGAACCATCGCGAATCACGAACAGCAACGAAGAGTTCAAGCGAGTCCGAGCGTTGAGTGAGTGAGTAAATATTTACGTGAGAGAATGCGACGTGCGAATGTAAATCTTACCGATTAAGTAGCGGAGCATTTTATAAGGGATTTTCTACGAGTCTAAATTTCGTTCCAAGTAACTTTAATCACTTCGCGACGAGAGGAGAGGCGCGTCATATTGGACGAGCGACGGATCGGTCGGACGGGAGTTATCCCTGCGAGACACTTGTACAGAACAGGAAATTGGTTTCGGTAATATACGAGCGCAACGCGAGAGAGAGAGAGAGAGAGAGAGAAAAAAAGAGAAAGAGAAAGAGCAATCTCTCGCGTGTACTCTGAAAAAATCTTGCAACTTCTGAATTAAAGATGCGTTATTTAACGCGCGCGGTCCTTCTCTGGCCCTCCACACGAGAATAATAAATTATGGCATTACTCGCGTTCAGCCGCGAGTGCCATCGAGAACTGTGCTTGAAACTATTACTTAATAAATCGGGACTTTTGAAATATTAACAGTGCGATATGTGGGGCGTCGCGCGGGCGGAATCGATACGCGCGTTTTGAAAGGCGATTCGAGGCTGCACGATACCGATAAACGCGCATTGGTATCGGAGTCCACCGATAGGCGAGAGGCGAGGGGCGCGCTGTTGTAAGTACAGGAGACGGACGGGGGTGTCACTTTATTCGCGAGAAATCGATCGACGGTCGTTGGAACGTCATGTCGCAGACTATTCGTGCCGCGCTCTTCGGAAGAGGAAGCTCGCTCGCTCGCTCATCGCGCGCGATACAATGCTGCTCCTTCTCTGTCTCCTCTGCGAGGAATGCGAAATTTCCCGGGGCGCACGCGAGACGCGGATTTCGAGAGTCGCGCGTCTGCTCCCGAACGGCGAACGTGAGCGACGAGCGACGAAAGGGGAAGGAGACCGACGGTAGATCGACTTCGTCTCGTGTAATACGACGCGCATTTGCCGAACGATTTACGACTAAACACCGCGCTATTACATATCATTCAGTCTCCATTCGCGAGTGGGATTGGCCGCGCGACAGGGACGATGGCGGACGGATGTGAAGTGGCTATTGTGTTTTCTTAATGGCTCGGCAAACCGCGCGGTTTAGGACGTCACCGCGCGCCGATGTCGCAAAATGGCATGCCATTTTGCGGCGAACGCCTGCGACGGTACCATCAATTTCCGGTGGGGCGGCGCGCGCGCGCGCATCCGCGCCGCGGATCAGCGGGAAAATGGGACGCGAAAAATCGCTCGTCCCTAAATCGCGCGATCGATTGCGCGACTCAGATTCCCCGGCGCGACAAGGGAATAAGGGATAGGAAGAAAGTGTAAATGTTGAAGAAAACGTATTTCTTGTCGCACTCGGTTTCCGGGGAGCGCGCGGCTCTGCGGGATCGCCCGTGAACATCAGCCAGCAGGACTTTCGTTATCGCGAGTGCACCGAAATGTGGTGGATTCTCCTGTCGTCGCTCGCGCGCGCGATATTTTTAATGCGGAGACGTGATTTGTGCGAGAGAAGAGAAGAGGCACGTGGAGCGTGTGCTTCATTATCCGTTGATAATTCACAGACACCGAGATAGGTCGTATCAAATTAAAATCCAATCGAGCGCGTATCTCCATTTCGCGAGTACGGATTTTCGTTTCTCTCCTTCTCTCTGTCTCCCTCTTTCCCCCCTCTCTCTCTCTCTCATTCTCTCTTGGTCTCTCCCAGTGACGGATATCCGCGTTATGCAACGTCCGCCATCGCCGAGGAGGCCGCGATCGAGATGCGCTTCGTTTAGGATCTATAAACATACGCGGAACGACTGTATATATAGATACACATCGTATCGAGAGACTATGTATTCTACGGTTAAAAGTGTCGAGATCACCAGGATTATTATCGTAAGGATTCCGATGACCTTCTAATTAGCGAGTCATATAGTTGAATTAGCGTCGGTGCGATGATTTGCGGGCAGGCCGACGAGATCCGAATCCCCATCGGGACGTTTTATCGACGGCGTCGACGTTACGCGACGGACGATGCGTGCGTGTATCGCGCGCGCATTAGCGCGATGAGCGACGGTCCGCGGATGGAACGTTTACGCGGGATTCGATTTAGCCGTCGGATTGACTCGCCCGATATCGCCAATAACCTGTATAATTGCCATGGATATTGAAGTCGCGTTTGCCGCAAACGCGACGAAATATCCCGCTCGCTGCAAAGGAATTTTTAATGTCGGCGCGTTCGTCCCGCCTGACGGGGACGTGATTATCGAGGCAATACGATATCCCGTGAGCTCGTTATGAAAAATCGTTACGGCGTAACGCCGTGCCGGAACAATCCCGGAGCTCATGTTGAGCGATGACGGTTCATTATCGCATCGCGGATCGCGCGAGCGCGATCGGCGATGAAGGAACTCGCGAGAGGAGAGACGGCGAGGATGACGATGACGACGAGCGGCAGCTGTAAGGCGGAGCAGATGAAAGGAGGACGAGCGAAATCTCGGAAAAATCGGCGGCCAACCAACCTCGCGACGCGAGGCCTGTGTATGCATTGTCGTTACACACTGTGTACTGTACCATATACGTACGTCACTGTAATAAAAACGCAAATCTTTTTGTAATCGAGTGTTTTTCATCTTCCAGTATCCTCCAGCGCCCCGGCGCGCGGACTCTGAAGGCCCGTATTAATCCGTCCGTGATATCGCCGCGAGATTGAACCATAACCAGCCGGGTTTTTCTTACGAGCCTCGCGTACCACGGCGGCAAAGAAGAACGACGTAATTCTTACCGTCGCCCGTACCCACCCACCGTCGCTGTACTCCTCCTCCAGATCCCGTTGCGCGAATATGCCTCCTCCTCCTCCTCCACCTCCTCCACGGTGTTAGCGGCTGTGCGCATATCGAGCGCGCCCGCGCGGATTATGTTACATTATGTGGGTTATACGGCTGTGAACGAAATACGGTTTATATTGAAAACGGGATCAATTCGTGGAATATATTAATTTCGATATATCGGCCGTATCGGAATTCAACGAGTTCCCATCGAGTTCGCAATTGCGCAACGGGCTCGGCCAGCGATCGCGGATAAATCGACGGCTTTACGGCGGACGGAATACGCGAGGCAATCTCTGTCGCGCTGCAGGTCTGCTCTCACAAAGCAACCGGATGGAGGTAACTTATTAACGACGAGCTCTGTGAGATTTTCTGTCGCCTCTGCATCAGAACTTTCCTCGGCCGTTGGATACATAAGAATAACGTCAAACCGATTTAATCACGCTTCAGAAAGCACCAAGGATGTCACATGACTGAATAAAAATACGGCTGCCACAGCAAATTATTAATGTTATCTTTCACCCATGCATACAAGATTGTTGTGCTAGCAACTGTAGCAGAGGGAAACGTCCAGTAGTCGGCATCCTACCTGTTTTTGACACTCCTGCGCGAATATAGTCGAGTGTTAAGGTGTGTGAGGATTTCAAAAAAAATATATAAGTAAATAGTAAATAATGATTGATGAATAATTAATAAATAATTAATAGATTCCCGCATACTTTGATATTGGATGAGTCCCGAACAACGGTGGCGAAACCTGGTGAATGCTGTAACGAGTGCCGGCTACTGAGCGTTTCTCCTTACCCTGGAAGTGGTACATTGACCTTCTTCGTTGCCTGTCCATATGCTTGAGCGGTATTCTCAGTGACGTAAGTAAACTCTACAGATCTCTCTCTCTCTCTCTCTCTCTCTCTCTCTCTCTCTCTCTCTCTCTCT